GGACCATATTGAAAAGACCCCATATTCATATTTGGAGCAAGCATAACAAGAAATTTTAAAAAACTGTTTATATATCTCCATACCTATTGGTTAACCTCTACCCCAAGCCTCCCGAGTAGCCCCACCCTGGGCTACTCTGGTTTTCTCTTGAGACGCCTTCCATTATTTCGCTATGATCCAGCAACTAGAAGCTTAATCCCTGACGTATTTCTGCTCTTATGTTTAATATTCCCAATAATTTAGAATTAATTTATTTGTCTTTTTCTAGTTTATTGAGTTGACAGCTTAGATCACTGATGTTTAACCTTTTTTATTTTAAAAAATATGCACATATGGCTATAAAATTTTCTCTAAGCACTGTTTTAATTGCATCCCATAAAATATGATCTGTCATATTTTTATTATAATTTACTTTAAACTATTTTACCATTTTATAACTTATTTTATAAATGTTAGTGCTTCCTTAATCATGGGTTGTTTAAAATGTGTTGCTGAATTTTTGAAACATTTGAGGACTTCTAGTTATCATTCTTTCATTGATTTCTAGTTTAATCCCACTGTGCTCAAAAGACATGTTCTGTATGATTTCAATCCTTTGAAATTTGTTGGAACTTGATTTTGGCCCAGTCTTGTAGCCTGTTTTTGTGACTGTTCTATGTATACTCAAAGAAAGTGTGCATATTCTTGTTGTTGAGAATTAGAGTGTAGAACTTCCCCTTCGGATGTGCCTCTTCTCAGGTTCTGATTGAAAGCCTAGACTATTCTCTTCTTCCCCTCTACTTTACTAGGCTTGAACTTCAGTCGCTGTTGTCCTAGCGTTGTGTAGCTGTTGAAATACCTGCTCAGCTGAGTAGCCCTTCAACTCCTGTTTTCTGCTGGATATTGTGACAACCTGCAACCTTGCTATGGTAGTCAGCTTTTAAGATGCTCCAACAATCCCTGTCTCCTAGTAATCATACTCTTGTATAACTCCTCTCTCCTTCAGTGTAGACTTTACTTACTGACTCACCTCTAAAAACAAAATATGGCAGAAATAGTGAGAGTGTCATTTTTGATATTAGATTATGAAGACTATAGCTTTCATGCTGAGTTCTTTCTCTCCCTCCTTCCCTCCCTCCTTCCCTCCCTCCTAGGTGGAAACCAGCTGCCATATCATGAAGCAGCCCTGTGGGAATTCCACATGGTGAATGGTCAAGGTCTGCCAACAACCATGTGAGGGAACTTCAGGGCAGCTTCCTCAGCCTACCACTAAAGCCTTCAGATAAAACCTCAGCTTCAACTGATAGGTTGACTGCAACCTCATGAGAGACCCTTGAGCCCATGACACCATGCTGCACCTGGACTCTTGACCTACAGAAACTGTGAGATAATAAATGTTGGTTGTTTTAAGCCATACATTTTCGCATAAATTGTTATTCAACAAGAGCTAACTAATACAGAGAAAAATGGAGAAATAGATGAATTCAGGACATTTTTGGTATCGGTTTAGCTTGAATACTAAGTGAACAGCAATGCCATTTACTAAGTTTAAGAAATCTGGAGGAAAATCAGCAGCCATGTACAACTGTCAACTAGCAGTTAGATATTCAACTGAAGTTCTGAGGATAAAGGGCTGGAAACCAGTTTTAGCATAATAATAGTATATCAGCCTCACTGGTGTGAGCATTAGGCGATGTAATGCAGACAAAACCCTTTGCACAATGCACACAATTGTTTTCTGTAATAGGTAAAATTGTGTCCTCCAAAAAGACAAGTTCAAGTCCTAGACTCTGGTACCTGTGAAAGTGACCTTGTTTGGAAAGAGGGTCTTTTTAGATATAATTCGTTAAGATGAAATCTTAGATACTGGATTAGAGTAGACCCTAATTCAACAACTGGTGTCCTTGTGAGGAGATAAAACAGACACACAGGTACACCCAGAGAGCAGAATATCATCTGATGACAAGGACAGAGATGGAAGTGATGCAGCTACAAACCAAGGATTTACCTGAGGGTCATCAGAAGCTATGGGAGAGGCTTGGGATGCTTCGTCCTCAGAGCCTCCAGGAGGAGCTAACTCTGCCAACACCTTGATTTCTGACTTGAAGCCTCCGGAATGTCTGAAAGAATACATTTGCGTTGTTTTAAATCATCCAGTTTGTGGTCATTTGTTACAGCAACCCTGGGAAAACAATACAGTGTTCAAATAAATGTGTAATGTGAGTGGTTTTCATTGCTTCTATTATTATTCACATTGTGTCACTGTGGTTGTTGTTTTTATATCTCCAAACACCTGGCATTTTGCTTTGCACATAGTAGGAACTCAATTTAGCATCATGGTGGAGTGAAAGATCTGTGATGTCTGCACCCCGGCAGCACTCTCTGGGAGCCGCGCTTAGAAGATCATCGCCTGAGGGCTCAATCTGAGAGGTGCTGGCTAGGACTGAAGGCCTGGCATACCTCAGGAACACATGGCCCTCCTAGTACAACAGTGAAGAAAATATCACCTGTTGGGCTTAAATGTGATTTTAGGGACATTCAGCAAGATCCATTCTCTTCCCTTGCTTCCAATCCCAGTATGTGATAAACCATCACTGGTCATTAATTCTTCTTTGACACTTAAATATTTTTACATAGCAAGTTAGAAAAGGAATAAAAAATCAGATGTTTCCAAACTTGGGGGAATATTAGTGTCGCCTGGAAGACTGTGTTTAAAATCTACATTCTTGGGCCCCTTTCTAACTCCACTGAGAATCAGAACCTCTGGGGCTGGCGTGGGGCTGAGGGGAGGCCTGCTAGGGGGCGCCCCAGCTAACTCTGATGTCACCTGCTCAGCACCTCGTCTCAGAATATTTGAAAACCACAATTCCTTCCACGTACAGATGAGGAAACTGAGGCAAAGGGCTTTCAGGGTATGCCCTAGACTTCCTTTTTTTTCAACAGAACTTGAAATATATTTTAAAAAGAGAAAGAGATTTGATGGAGAAAGAGCTAGTAAAAAACGAAGTGAAAGGCGAGCTTGAAGGTGAGGCTACTAAACCAGGGATAAGGGATGTCCACAGAAGCAGCCAAGAGCAGAGCTCAGCTTCATTTCTCTAGGTTACAATTGCTGTTCAAAGGAGGTTTAGTTTTGTTTTTACCAAAGCTCTGGCGCCCCCTCGCGGGCAAAGTGAGCAGTCCAGCGTCTACAGTGAAGCGTGTTCTCAAAGCAGCTGTGTTCTCTTGCTTTAGAATCAAGGATTGCTTCAGTTTCCCTTCATGTTTTGGGTAACTTTGTTTCTTTTTTTACTAAGTTTTTTTTCTATCTCCTCTGCTTTAAAGTTACATCCTCGTTACCTCTGTCAGTAAAGTCGCGAGCTCTGTAGGACTAAGGACAATTATGCTTAAGATATTTTTGTTTCAGTTTAGTTCCAGACAGTAAGGAAAGCATTATAAATTTCTGAAGTCCATCCAAAAACAATGTAAATTATACTAGAGCAGTTGATCTGGCATTTAAATAAACGCAATTTTAGAAGTAATTAAAATGGTTTACACTAGTTCCCTTTGCCCAACGGAACTTAGAACGAACGATTCCTTAAAATTTACTTCTAAGTAAATTCTAACACCTGGTAAAGAGATTCGATCATGATAGTAGTAGAAATAGGAAGCTGGTGGTCCAAAACAGCCCTGTGGAATCTTCTGTTTCAACCGCATCGAGGTAAAGAGAGTGAGGGTGCATGTGAGTGAACCATTTATTGAAGAGCGTTGGGCTGAGACAGGTGATATCTAATGTCTGTGAAGTCAGCTCACCAATTATATGCTCTGCTTAGCTTCAGTTCTCAGAGTATACCAATTTTTTAGTATATGTGCTGCCGAAGCGAGCACTCTCAGAGTATACCGAAGCAGAGGGCAACACTTGAACTCAGAGTTCTATGTGAAAATCCTTTGACAATCCTGACCGTCACAGACACTAATTGAAGTAGTGGGCTAAATAAACAAGGGGGAGTGGAGCTTGCATTTGTCTATTCAATAAGAGCCCATCGTCTGATTTAGGATCTGGGCATGAAAAAGGGCCACTATCATTGCTTATAAAACAAAAATGGACAGGAGAGCGTGCATTTTTAGAACCACACTTTATCAAATGGGATATTTTCAAAGATAAAGTGGGAGTGAGGGAGAAAAACATCCAATAGTCACGTTTAAGAGTATAAAAAAGGGATCGCAAATCAAAGCAGATTTTCTCCAGTAACATAGGAAAATCAAGGGTTACGCTCATTTCCTTCTGAAACTTGGAAGAAGCAAAGGGGAGTTGGCCAGCGGGCTCTGCCTCTGTCCACCACCTCCTCCTCCCCGCGCCGGGCGCGGCGAAGTTCAGCACCTCGGAAAGCGCCCCCTCTCGCTCTCAGGGGCTACGCATGCTCCTTGGGAGCCCGCAGCCTCCTCTTTGAGGGTGCGTATAGAAGTCGGGTGAGCGCCGCTGGCAACTCACTGGGAGTTGACGACAGCGGAGAAACGGAGACGCGAGGCAACGAGGCGACATCGACAGACCTCTAGAGAGTCACAGCCAGGCAGACGGGACTCTCTTCTCTCTTTTTCTCTCTAAGAACAGAAACCTCGTCCAAGCTGCAACAGAAGAAACCAACAAAGGTATTTGAAAGAGAAGGAGCGGGCCCCCAAGCAGTCCTGAGTGCACGGGTGGGTTATGTGCTAGTGCCCAAGTGACCGCAGAAAACGCAGGGAGGAACGTCTGCGTATATAGTAGAGACCCAGAGATTCCCACCTTGGCCGGAAATCCCTTGGCCGCCGACCGCTCGCCTTAGGAGCTGCGTTCCTCCGCCCTCTTAACTCCCCTCCAGAGCAGACTCGGAGCGCAACTCCTGCGCCCAGGCCCGCGCTCCGCGCGCCCGGGATGCGTATGGCACCCAGTTCCTAGGCGCTCCCTTCAGTTGCTGCTTGGAAAGCGCCCACCCACTCCCTGCGCCCTCGCGCAGGAACAGAACCCCGGGTGAGCTGGACCATCTTAGGTCTTGTCCCCCTGGAACATGACCTAGAGGCACCTGCACATGCAGGTGGACGCCGCAGTCACTAGAGCCACCATGAATGAGGCGGCTGGTGGGGACGAGCTCGCAGAACTCTTCGGTCTGATTCCGGACCTTCTGCAGGCGGCCAACGGGAGCGACAACGCTTCGCTGCCGCTCCCGGACTTCTGGTGGGAGCTGGGGCTAGAGTTGCCGGACGGCGCGGCTCCAGGGCATCTCCCAGGCAGCGGCAGGGCAGAGGGGGCGGACCCCGAGGCCCGCGTGCGGATCCTCATCAGCGTGGTGTACTGGGTGGTTTGCGCGTTGGGGCTGGCGGGCAACCTGCTGGTTCTCTATCTGATGAAGAGCAAGCAGGGCTGGCGCAAGTCCTCCATCAACCTCTTCGTCACCAACCTGGCGCTGACGGACTTTCAGTTCGTGCTCACCCTACCCTTCTGGGCGGTGGAGAACGCTCTCGACTTCAAATGGCCCTTCGGTAAGGCCATGTGTAAGATCGTATCCATAGTGACGTCCATGAACATGTATGCCAGCGTCTTCTTCCTCACCTCCATGAGCGTGGCGCGCTACCACTCGGTGGCCTCGGCTCTTAAGAACCACCGGACCCGAGGTCATGACCGGAGCGAGTGCTGCGGCCAGAGCCTAGGGGACAGCTGCTGCTTCTCGGCCAAGGCGCTGTGCGTGTTGATCTGGGCCTTGGCCGCGCTGGCCTCGCTGCCCAATGCCGTCTTCTCCACCACCGTCAAAGTGATGGGTGAGGAGCTTTGCCTAGTGCGCTTCCCGGACAAGCTGCTGGGCGGCGACAGGCAGTTCTGGTTGGGCCTCTACAACTTGCAGAAGGTGCTGCTAGGCTTCGTGCTGCCGCTGGGCATCATCAGCCTGTGCTATCTGTTGTTAGTACGCTTCATCTCTGACCGCCGCGTGGCGGGGACCCCAGGAGGGGCCTCAGCAACAGGGGGAGGCCTGGCTGGAGCCAGCGCCCGGAGACGGTCCAAAGTCACCAAATCAGTAACCATCGTGGTCCTGTCCTTCTTCCTGTGTTGGCTGCCCAACCAGGCACTCACCACCTGGAGCATCCTCATCAAGTTCAACGCGGTACCGTTCAGCCAAGAGTATTTCCTGTGCCAGGTATACGTGTTCCCAGTGAGCGTGTGCCTGGCTCACTCCAACAGCTGCCTCAACCCCATCCTCTACTGCCTCGTGCGCCGCGAGTTCCGCAAGGCGCTCAAGAGCTTGCTGTGGCGCATCGCGTCGCCTTCGCTCACCAGCATGCGCCCATTCACTGCCACCACCAAGCCGGAGCCCGAGGATCAGGGGCTGCAGGCCCTGGCGCCTCTCCATCCCGCTGTAGAGCCAGACCTGATCTACTACCCTCCTGGAGTGGTGGTCTACAGTGGGGGCCGCTACGACCCTCTGCCCAGCAGCTCCGCCTACTGACCTAGGCTGGGGCGGCCACCACAGAGGGGCCCTCCCGGAGCGCGAAAGAGAAGAGCGGATTAGAGGATGCTGGGGGCCACTAAATCAAAAGGTAGGTGGGATGAAGATGAGGAGAAGCGCAGAGGAGCAGCCTGTGAAAAAGGCCGGGGGACCTTCCCGGAGAGGAGAGGCTTTGAAACCAGGTGGAGGGAGGACACTGGCAAAGGGGCCGAGATCAACCTCATGGGGCCAGGCCCCCAACCCTTGTCCCCCTTCCCTCTACACGCACCTTTTCCTCTCTATGTTGTCAGCTCTGGGCAGCGTGGGGGTGCCCAGAAGCGAAGGCATCAGGAATGTAGGGAAATTTGCGCGCGACGAAGTAGAGGCTCAGACAAATGGAGCGCATTTCTTACTGTGACTTTGTGGAGCCCTTGTAAGGTCCCTGGGGGTGCAGTCAGCCATGGGAGCCGCCCATTAAACCTTTCCTTTGCGCCCTGGCCAGGGAGACTGCCCTGGCGTGAACGTCTGACTTGCGAGGCTGCGCTGACAGCCTAGAATTTGGGGAGCAAGGAACTTTTTCCGGGAGAAAGGAGTGACAATCTCAGCCCCCAGGAGAACGCACCGAGAGAGGCACCTCCTATAGGCCATTGTGCCGTTTATCATCCCGGACAAGGCGGTGGGCACACGGGGAATCCGCCCGTGCCTCTGCCCGACCTCCGCGCTCAAATGTCATCGGGGCAAAACACTTGTCTACAGCCAGCAAGAGCGATTGGCTGGGGAGTGGTGTCTGCGCGGGAGGGAGCAGATGCAGTGTGACTAGAGGGACTGATAGGTCTCCTCAGGCTACTGACCCTAAAGGGAAAAAGGGTTCTCACTGCTCCCTTGGTAACTGAGCAGGAAGTGAGTGCACCGCGTGCTGGAAGCTTGGGCGTCCCAGTTCTCCTGAGAGCAGTGTGGGTGCCTGGAGACACCGCGGCCTCAGGTCTGTTCACTGCAGACAGTGAGCTGTGTCCAGAAGCAACTTGAAAAGGTGGGAGTGAGGACTCTGGATATTTAAACGTGTGTGTATGAGAGAGAAAGAGAGAGAGAATGAGAATGCTCCAGCTCCCTTGCTCACCTGCCTCATCCCAGTTGCTCGTCCAGTGTTCCATTTGAACAGAGCTTCACTTGTAATAAAGACCATGCCCTGGGGTTTGCCAGAGGTGACTGCTTTTGATTTTTTGGGGATCCAGGTAAGATGGCCCTGGGCTACAGGTCACCCTGCCAGCTCTCCCAACCATTCATTTCAAAATCTTCAAACACTAGAACAGTCCTTGAGGAAATAAACATTGCACTCAGGAAATGACTTCATTTCTAAACCTTGCAGAGAGACCAAGGACAGGTAGGCAAAGCAAGAACGGCGGCGTTTGGTGCAGTTACTTTTGTTGTCGTGCTGAGTGCTGCGTCACATGGGGTCTTCTGAGCATTTGTCCTTTATCATCCCAAGCTGCTGGGCTGGGAGCAGCTGTTCTCCCTGATGGCTCCTCTAAGTCAGTCATGACCTTCTCTCAGGTGGATGATATGCGGGCAGGAGGGAAGGGGTCTGGGGAAGGAGTCCTTTGGTATGTGCCCTCCCAAAAGAATGAGATGACTTCATTTGGGAACGAACACACCAAGAGGATGCAGGGGGACCTCACTTGGGGGGCAGAAAATCAGAAGCCCACGTGGAAAGAAGAGCAAGGCCTAGAGGTTGGTAAGGGAAGCAAAAGCACTGAGGTGTGAGAAGACAGCCCAGCTTGGTCTTAAAGACTCCAGGATCCAGAGAAAATGGGAGACACTGCAGGAGCCTGGAGTGTCTGGTGTGGGATACTGAAGCTGCGTGTTCTGCAGGCGGCAGTGTGGGCAGTGGGCAGTGGGCAGAAAGGAGGGCCCATTCCAGGGCGAGTCCCTGCCCTCCGCCCCCCCTACACACACAGACTGGAAGTGGTCAGAGCACAGGGGTGTTCCAGACGTCCTTACCCCGCGCTGCTCCAGTCACAGATAAGATAACCCAACAGCGGCAGAGAGCAGGCTCATAAACAAAAAGGTGTCAATCAAGAGAACTGCAGCAGCAACCTGGAGGCCCAGGCAGTAGCTAGAGCATGAGTGTGAGATAACAGAGATGTAGCTGAGAGCACTGGAGGAACCCAGGAGACAGCGGCTACTGCACAGTGACAAAGGATCTGCTCTCTGGCTAAGGCTGGCACCTGTCAGGACTTCCCTTAGGCCTGGGCAGCCAAGGCCCCTGCCCTGGATTTGATTATTTAGAGGATTCTGCTCTGCCTTCCCCTCCCAACAGCAGCCCTCCACACATGGCAGGGAATCCTCAGGGCCTGTGCTCACCCCTATTCTTTTTTTTTTTTTTTTTTAAGATTTTTTTATTGGGGCAGCTCGGGCTGGGACTCGAACTGCTGTTGCTCAGAGCTCAAACTCTTGAGCGAGCTCTTAACCAACTGAGCCACTCGGCCGGCCCTCTCACCCCTATTCTTGATTAGCTCCAGAGTCCCCCATCTAAATGGCCTTGAATCTATCCACAAGGCCTCCCTGGATCCTTTCCGAGTTCATCCTCCAGAGGGTGGACCACACCGCTGTGTCTATAGGTGCTGCCCTTAGGTGCGAGGGTGGCTGTTTGCAGGTGTGGTAGAGGGCGGATGGGTTGGGGAAGCTATGGATGTGCCAACGCCAGTGTGCACACAAGGCTCTCATGGTGCTGGACAGAGCTAAGGGTGGGGGCAGAAGGGGCGGGCTGTGGACTGAAGGCCCAGAGTATCCCTGGCCCTGGGCCCTGCAAACGTTAGGAGTGGGCCTGTACCCCTTATACGCCCAGCAGTAGTTGACAGACTTGCCAAAGACCCAGCAGAGCACGCGTGCTTCCTCTTCTCAGCACCACTACCCCAAAGGAGCCGGTACTGGGGGGGCCTGGCCAC